TAATAGAAACATCAGAGATTGTGGAATGGAGAAGAACCTATTTATTAGAAATAAAGAAAACCAGGTAAATCTATTTTTTATGGGCATATGGATATAAAATTGCCGTAGACACAACTTTTTCAAGTAACTTTTTGTTAAATTCGATCTAAAAATGCACTTCTTCAATTTGTTTCAAAAAAAAGTTGAATTTGACAAACACTGAACGTCAGTGGGTCGCAGTTGTCCACATCATTTTAAGTTAAATTTAAAGCACAAACAGGTGCCAAGGTTGAACTGCATTGAAACTTTTCGAAAAAAAAGTTTCCCATATGGTGCGCACTTTAATGGTGACACTGGCCCATTGAATATAATTGGAGTGTTGTAATTCTAAACGATATTTTTTGAACTTTAAACCTTTTAGTATGTCATTTTCTGTGATTCTTTTTTTTTGATAAAAAGAATTATATATATATATCACAAAATAACAGGTTGCGCTGCCTTGATTGCTATATCAACACTGTGACATCTCAGTTGACTATTTTAGTGTGCTAGTAAGTCAACAGACAAGTTTTGAAGCACAATTCGTTTTCTATAGTAATATCTCAACATGGCTATGGTTCTGCCAGAACTGTTCTCAAAGTACAATAGGTTAACCACAGTTGTTACTGCAAAACAGTTGGAAAAATTTCATCACTTGATAAAATGGAGAAAAAACGCTTCTGTTTTGGAAATTGGGCATGCTGAAGGTGGAAATTCTCAGAAATCATTCTTTCCCTATTTACCAAGCGATTTGAAAGAGTATGTTGCTACGGACCTTTCGGAAAATATGATTGAATATGCAAGCAAAAACTCGACACTTCCTTCAGTGACATTCGGGCAACTGAATATAGCTGCAAAACAAGTTCCACTGGAGTATCTGAATAGATTCGATCATATATTTGGATTTTTTGTCATGCACCATGTGAGGCAACCAAGGTATGTTCCAAATTCAATTATTTGACCCGAATAGACGAAAATATCAGTAAATGAATTTGTAAATCGGGAAAATATTAGTGAGAAATCCATAAAAAATATAACTCGTTCATAGTCTATAGTTTTAACTAACTGAATTGTACAAAATCCCTATGCACGAGCTTTATATCTGATGAAATTTCCTAGAAATAGTCAGTAATTAGAAAGTATACAGGGTCTTCCACGACGAGCGTTCGTTAGGACTTTATGAAGAACTCTTCAAAACAAAAACTTGAAATTTTGTGGTAGTGGGATTTACAAGATGGCCTTCTCAACTGAAATATTTTCAACTTCCGGTCTCTTTCCGTTATATAGGGAGTTGACGGCAATTTCCTTATTTCAAAAGGAACACCCGGTATTTAATTACATTTTTGAATTCCACAGCACATTTCAGGCCCACTTTGTATAACAATGCCTTAACCCAGGGGTCTCCAAACTTTGAAGCCTTCGGGCCATAATGCTTTTTTCAGTTTGTTCCAAGGGCCAATTTCTGCCCCTAACTATATTTCTAGACTAGGATAGCCGCAAAGTGCGTGACCTAAGCAAACTTACGCTTTTTTTGCATTTCAATTATTATTGTATATCGTGACACTTAACGACATCTAGTGGCAAGTAGTGGTACTATGTACTATCTTTTTCAGCTACCCGCTAGGTGGCATTAGGCGTAATTAAATATTTAGAATTACCGCGTTGGTTCGAGGAAGTTCTGGTTCTAGCTAGTGTATTCCGATCACCTCGAGATGGCAGTAATAATTGCATATAAAAAGGCTAGCGGCGCAACTGCGAGTTAGTCTGC